GAAAAGTAGAAATTAGTCTCCCGATTGGGCAGTAGGTGAGTTTCCGCATTCAGCTGGAGTATATAGGCAGACTGAACTGCGCAATAATCGCCATTTTGCCGCATCCCCCATAGTGATAACTGTGCTCCAGGGCCCTGSRGTGAGGACAACCYCAGGTCRGTCCAGCTAGCGAATGAGGCTTGCCGACCCCCGTCGGCAACATCCATCTAAACCAAAGAAACCTGTATCTTTCTTGATTTTGTTGGTGTGGTCTGTTAACTTCTTAATTTGTTTGAAAACACTCTCGGAGTGGTCCTCAAAGTTCATGCAACACATTCCATCAAAGTCCTCGCATCCGTGTCCATAAGCGAGAAGCAGAAAATCAATTGCTGCTCGGTCTTGAAGTACAGCATGTTGCACTTTAGAGAGGTCTTCGGCAAGCTCCGAGAGCACCATGCTGGTAGCATTAGCCTGTTTAACCACCCAACAAGCCAACCGCCCAAGGTTTCTGTGAGCACATGCAGCAGAGGCTCCAGGGAGAAAAAATGAAGCCATCACAGTTTCAATGGTGTTCCAAAGGGTTACCTCATCGTTGCATGATTCATCTAAAGTTACAGATCTAGTGATGCGTGACCGCTGGATACGACCTGTGTTGTCACTGCGAGGCCCTGGGGGGTTGGCCATACTTACCTGGCCAATGGTACAGGGTCCCCCGACCGGTCTTGAGGGGATGCCTGACCAGGCCCGATTCCTGCAAATAAGAAAGTACCCCCGCAGCAACAGCCGGGGAGAATCTACCCCAAGGCCATCATATCGGAGAGGTTTACACCATCGTTCCCATTCGGAAATAGCTCCTATTGGAAACAATTCAGTGACTGGCCACGTTAAGTTACAATTAATCAAGTACCCCTCAACACAGGTATTTATACCGAACTGAGTTGAATTAACATAAAAACAGTCATGAGCAGTACTCACATTCAAACTATCAAGCAAATCTAATTCTTGAGGCTGAGGCCCCAATGGAAGATAGGGAAGCCAAGCAGAACCTGCTTTGCCTCCTTGCATAATAGCGTAATTGAAAAAGATTTCTGTAACAATGGGATCCATATCTACATCCTTCAGGTTGTACAACCCCATTTTCTTAACTGCTTCACCAAAAGTTATCCATTTACTTCCACTTAATGGCACTCCTACCAAGCAGGTGACAAAAGGAGAACTGGGGTTGGCTAAACTTGCACAAAAATGCGTGGTATTTARTTGCCTTGCAAGTGTAACCCAGACATTTTGTCGCGGATCAAACAATTGTGGGTGATACATTGTCCTATACTCTGGCAGCAGTTGCAGAGCAAGGGCAAGGATCATCATTACCCACATCAACTTCCGCAGGAGTGCTGGATGTCAATTGCTCTTTTGGTGACACTTGCTCCAGCCACGGACGAACCCACTTCGCGGGTACCCAGTGCGTCTTGTTCCCTGTAATGACACAAGCATAACCTCAACCCCAAGTTATTAATTCACATGGTCCATCCCACTGATGCGTTCTTGGATCCAACACACTCACTGGAACCACTTTTCCAGAGAAGTCAGAGGAATTAAAAGAAAAATGTGCAAAAATAGGCACACTGTTATCTGAATGCGGGTTTAGCCAAYTAAGCACATAACACGCTTTGCATACCAGTTCATAGGGGCTCGTCTCCCCCCCTTTTTTCAAAGCAGATAACAGTCACTTTAAATCTTGGTGATGACGTTCAATAATAGCTTGACCCTCATAATTATAGGGTATACCAGTCACATGTGTGATACCCCACTGGCGGGAAAAGTATTTACAAAGTGAATTATTATATGTTGGTGCATTATCTGTCTTGATGATTTCGGGACGGCCTAAAACGACAATTTCCTGAAGCCAATGATCTCGTGGATTTGCTGTGGTCGATACTGCAGGTGTTGTCCATATAGCTTTCGAACAGGTGTCCACTGTGACATGCAGGTACTTTAGATGACCAAATGCTGGAAATTCTGTAACATCTGTTTGTCAAAATCTTCGTGGTTGAAGTCTTTGTGGATTAATACCATCTTCTTGAATCGGAGTGAGTCTAGCACAATCCGGACATGCAGCAATGATTGCCCTTGCGGCAGCTCTTGAGATGTGAAATTGTCTCTGCAGAGCCCGTGCTGATTGATGAAAAAAATTATGAGCCGCAATTGCTTCTTGTTTTGGAGATAAATTTATGCAAACAGATCCAGAAACAGCTTTATCAATTATATAGTTTCCTTCAGTCAGAATCCCTGGAATGTTTGTGTGACTTCTGATGTGGCTGCACCATATCGGTTGTTTTTGCTGTTCTATGAGGTTCCACAGGCAGATGAACAGAGCCTGTAGTTCTGTATTTGAAATATGTCCAATAATAGAGCGTGAGATTCTTATAACGGTTCCTAATACATACAGTC